GACAAGGAAAGAGAGAGGCAGAGAGGGAGGAGAGAGAAAGAAGAGAAGTAGAGAGAGGGAGAGAAGAGGTAACCAGAAAGAGGGAGGAAGAGAGGGAGAGTGAGAGGAAGAGGGAAAGGAAGAGAGACAGCGAGAAAGAGAAAGAGAGAGAGAGAGAGAGAGGCGAGAGATAAAGCGGGAGAAGCTGGCATGCCTTCCTCATCTGGGCAGGCTCAGTACCAGCCCTGCCCTACGCCAGGTGCTAATCTGCTATCTCGTCTTCATTGCAGTTTCCCACTTTCCATATGAGGAAACAGAGGCAGGAAGCGCTGCAGCTGATCTGAGGGCTTCTGTGGAAAAGAATTAGTTGATCTAAACAGTAGTTCTCCCTTGAGCAACTCTGCCCCCAGTGGGTACTGGCAATGTCTGGGGACATTTGTGGTTGCCACAATAAGGGCAGGGGAAGTTTGCTACTAGCATCAAGTAAAAGGAGACCAGGGATGCCGCTCATCACCCTACAGTGCTCAGAACAGCCCCACCCCAGAGAAGATTCTGAAACCAAATGTTGTAGCATGGGACTCAGGGAAGCAATCAGGTGCTGGTACCCCTGTGGCCCCTAAACTCCTCAGTGCTGAATCAGCTGAGCTGATGGGAGAGGTGCTGAGTCAGGGCTGGTCCCCAACTTGTTTTCTGACAACTCGAGACCCCTCTGCAGCCTTGGTGCCCGAGGACTCCTGAAATACAGGAATCTGTTGGCAGAAGAAGGCTCTATTACTCATGGTCCCTCCTTTGGCAGCTGATTTGGCCATGTCAGAAGACCCCCACCAAAAAAACCCTCTGCCCACCTTGATAGTTCCAGGGGGACAATCTTAAACATGGCCAAATATCTACATGCACAGTTCCAGTGTGACTGTGTTAAGAACCAGCCAGAAACAACCCAAGTGTCACACAGCAGAGAACCACGTAGATAAAACTCCTAGTATGGCCAAACGGAATATTATGCAGCCAGTAAAAATGATACAAACTCATGTTGTTGTTAATAGCTGCCCTGACTCATCGAGACACCTAGGGTCAGTTGTGGATCAGACCATTGGGCTCCACCAGGTTTTCACTGACTGATTTTTTGAAATTTGATCACCAGACCTTTTCTCCTAGCTCATCTTAGTCTGGAGGCGCCACTGAAACCTGTTTAGTATTCTAGAAAGATGCAAGTCTCCAGTGACGGATGGTTCAAGCTCACTGGTTGCTCCTAGGAAACCCTATACAGGGTTGCTATGGGTTGGAACTGACACAACAGCACAAATAAAACAGTGATAAGTGGGTGGTGACTGGCCAGGAATCGAACTCAGCTCTCTTGCATGGAAGGCAGGAATTTTACCACTAAACCACCACTTCCCCCAGTAAAAACTGCCACTGAAGATGTTTGTCATTTGGAGAAGGAAAAGGATACGCAGATCAACACAGTTAGGTGAAAGCAATTCAGCCACTAACCAGACTCCACCCTCCAAAAAATGTCTGATTGAGGCTGAATTGGAACATGAAGGGTGAATTTCTTATTTCTTTTTTGATGTTGAGCATTTTCTTTATTTCATAGCCCATAGATGCTAGGACATCTTGATTGGGGAGGGAGCGGGTTTAGATGGCCCTGTGTTTTCACATGAGTCCTGAGTATGGATGTGGCCATGAAGTTTTGTTGTAATGTTTATCTTTGGGTTACATTTGCCAGCAAACCTTGCTTCTTTGTTAACAAAAGCAGAGCTGGTCTTCAAAGCTCCTGAGCATAGTTCAACTACCGCCCATTGGACATCTGGTTTGGGAGCATTGTCAGGGTAGGGCCATCCTATGAGCTCTAGGGTATTGAAGCAGCATCCCTGACCTCCACATACTAGATGTTCTTTAGCACCCTACTACCACCACCAAGTCTGACAACTTAAAAATGTCCCCAGACATCTCCAAATATCCCCTGGGAGGAAGAATCATTCTCAGATGAGAGCCCCTGGGTTAGGGGGTCCCATTGACCACCAAGAGACTGCTTCGTGATCATCTGACTTGACTGAAGTCCTAGGACACTGCACACATTCCAGTTCACACTCTGAGTGGGGAGGGTCACTCAGCTAACTAGTCAGGAGTTTATTCTGACGTAGAAGCTCTAGTAGCGTAGTGGTTACGAATCAGGCTGCAAACCTTAAGGTCAGCAGTTTGAAACTACCAGCTGTTCCACGGGAGAAAGATGAGGTTTTCTGCTCCCTTAAAGATTTACAGCCTCAGAAACCCTGTGCAGGGTTGCTATGAGTCGGAACCGACTCCACGGCACATAACAACAACATAGTGTGTATAGTGTGAGCAGACACAGCACTCTTCAGGATTTTTTTCCAAATAAGTAATACATTCCCCCCCCCCCCCCAGCACTGCTGACACTTGAGACCGAGTGTTTTCTGTGGTGCGGGCTGTGCTGTGCACTGTGAGGTGTTGAGCAGCATCTCTGGTCTCCATTCTCTCAATGCCAATATCAATTCCCTTGAGTGTGACAATCACAAAAGTGTCCAGACATTGACAAGGGTTCCTTGGGGGAGGAGCAAGGCACGCCTCATTGAACCTCTGGTCCAATGGATGTTGAAATTTGGGATTCAGGGAAACAAATATCAAAACAAAACAAAACAGTCACCAGTTCATGGTGACTCCAGGGTGTCAGAGGAGAATTGCTCCAGAGGGTTTTCAGTGGCTGATTTTCCAAAAGCAGATTGCCAGGTTTTTCTTCTGGGGCTCTCCTGGGTGGACTCTAATCTCCCAACTTTTTAGGTAGCAGTTGAACATGCTCATCATTTGCACCACCCAGGGACTCTGGGACCTAGGGGATAACTCTTTGCCAAACCCTGTCCCTGGCTTTCCTGCTCAAACACAGCTGGGTTAGAGGTAACACTTTCTATTCTATACACTGGAAGCTCTCAGAGAAACAGAATCTCAACAGCTTCAGTTCCATTTTAACTGGCTCCTCTCTTACTCAACTCAGGCACCGAGGGAACCCTGGCCAATGGTTTTTGAATAAGCAAGAAAAATACCTTATACTTGAAACTCACTAGAAAGTTTGGAGACTGTTTGAAAAAAAGTCTGTAAAGTCCCTTTTCAGTTTTTTTTCTCCCCCAGTGTCCCAGTCCTGAGGCCACTGCTGTGTTCTAGGATCATCTTTGCAGAAGCTGTACCCAGAAAACAGAGGCATCTCAATCAAACACACACACACACACACACACACCCCTGCAGCACCCACGGAAGTGGGCCAGGGCTATTTACTGGAGAAAGATGAATCAGATTGTCATCTCCATTTCTGCTTTTTGTGGATTACCCAATGCCCTCAGCTGTTTCCAGGGGGAGGAAGGGGGGAGGAAATCCCAGCCTGTGTTGAAATGGGGGCGAGAGTGTTTTAAAAACAGCCACTGCTTTAAAAAGCTATTTTCACTTTCTGGAAAGTTGTGCAATGGTTGGTGGCCATGGTGACCAGGGCTCCAAGACAGGGGGGTGGCAGGGGAGGCCTGCTAGAGAAAGCATTTGGGGTGGGATGTGGGGGTCTCCCAGGGCTCTGCCATCTACTGTGATCCACTTGCACAACATCTGCAGGTTGGGGTGGGGTCCTAAGCAATAGAAAAGTTACGTCTGTTAGTGGGGTTGGGAACCCTCGGAAGGCAGATAGACCTGGCCCCTACCTGCACAACTCCATAACTATGTCACTGGGCCTCAGTGAAAAGGGCACAATGCCTGGCTTTCAAACGTGGGCAAGATGTTGTTGTTGTTATCAATTACCCTTGACTACACACTCATGTGTGCTGAGTTAGAACTGTGCTCCACAGGGTTTTCAAGGCTGTGAACTTTTGAAGGAAAATTACCAGGCCTTTCTCCCAAGGTACCTCTGGAAGGGCTTGAACTATCAACCTTAGGAGTAAGACTCGTAAAAGACAAAGCACATCAGAAACTCCAAACGTAACTCAGACATTTAAGGTCCCTAGGAAAACTGGTAGCATAGTGGTTACGAATCGGGCTGAGAACCACAAAGTCAGCAGTTCGAAACTACCAGCTGCTCTGCAGGAGAAAGATGAGGCTTTCTGCTCCCGTTAAGATTTACAGCCTCGGAAACCTTGTACAGGGTCACTATGAGTTGGAATCGACTCCACGGCACATAACAACAACAAGGAAGACTGGAGACTTCATCTGTGCCTGCATACTCCAGAGGTTTGACTGAAAACTCATAAGCTTCCAGAAGGTGGCGTTTTTCCCCAACCCTGAAGAGGCAGCCACGTCAGTGCCACTGGCCCTTTCCCCAACTCTGGAGAAAAGGAGGCAATTTATGGTCCAAGGAATAACTTAAAATAACCCTCCCAGAGTCCTAAAATGCAGTGTTTAAATTTATAGGGAAACCCACAGGTTCCTGGCAGCTGGACACTGGGCTCAGATCTGAATGGACCCATGCCACCTTCTTCTTCTGGACGACCTACCATTAACACTGTCCCCAGTTCCCAAGCAAGCTGACCAGCACTATGGAATAGGCAAAACTTTTTTTTTTTTTATTTTATTAAAAAAAACAGCAAAAAGTCTTTTTCATATAAAAACGAAACAGGCGTTCAAAATGCCCACCGTCTTCCTATTTACATTAATACCATATCTGTCAGAGTTGCTATGTACAATATTATATAAAAATGTCGCAGACAGTACACATTTAGGCTGTAATTTCTTTCTCACAAAGCGTTAGAAACGCCAAGCCTCTAGTGTAGACCCAGAGCAAGGAAGACTACACTTCATTATTGCACCATTTTGAAAACAAAATTCGTCAAGGAGAATGTGGGCGTCTTCTCCCACCAGGGCCTTCTGTCGAGGGCTAGGGGGCCTGGTCCACAAACTGGAAGGCCCCTCAGTGGCCATGCCATGCCCGGCGGGGTCCTTTGGGCCTAATAAATACTAATCACAGTCAAGAGGGGGCCGCGCCGGCGCGTGGGACCCGCCACGGCCGGCGTGGAGGGCAGGGGGCTTCCCGGCTACATGTGTCTTTTCATGTGCAGAGCCAGGTGGTCAGAGCGGGAGAAGGCACGGTCACACAGGTGGCACTGGAACGGCCGGTGGCCTGTGTGTTTGCGGTAGTGCCGCGTGAGCTCGTCGGAGCGCGCGAACTTCCAGCCACAGCCGTCCCAGTTGCAGTGGTAGGGTTTCTCACCTGCAGGGAGGGAAACAAGGCAGGACTCAGTTTCCCTCCATCTACTCAGCTGCCCGCTTCAGTACCCCAGGTGTTCACCCCACACCCAGATAGGGGGTATTCTGGAGTACACAAAACCCCCTTCTCAATACCCGCAAGCTCGCCTTGAATGTTTTGATCACCAGCCCTTTCTCCAATTTTCTGAACTTCTACAGTCGTAAACTCACGAACACTTCCCAACTTTCCAAGCCATGCCCCCAGGGGTGTCCTCAGAGGTATTGAGAGCTCACGCCCCAGCCCCTGTCCCCCTGTCGGTCACCTCCTGAGCCACACTTGTAGAGGGGCGGTTCCTCAGAGCGCTCAAACCCTCATCTCTTGAGCCACACCCCAAGGGTTATTAGCCGTGCCCCAGGGGGCTCCTCCTAAGTACATTTCTAGAGGGTCCTCATTCTCCACCAGCCTACCCCCTTCCCACCAAGAAAGTCCCCAACAGGCTGAGCTACGCCCCAGGAGAATCCTCAGCATGTCCCTACCCTCACCTCAGCCTTGTTTCCCAAGGGATCCTCAACCAGGTCCTACTCCACCCTCCTGAGCCACGCCCCTAGGAGGTCTCCAGCGCACTCACCTGTGTGCGTGCGTAGGTGCGCCTTGAGGTGCGAACTCTTGGTGTAAGTCTTGCCGCAGCCAGCATAGCTGCAGGTGTGCGTGGCCGTGCGCTTTCGGGGCCAAGAGCGGCGGCCGCGCTTGGGCTTGGCCTCCAGCAGCTCTAGCGGCGAGGCGGGCGGTGTGAGCAGGCCGCGGGCGGCTGGGGGTGCTAGGCCCAGGGCGGCTGCAGCAGCCGCCGCGTCCTCAAAGAGGCCAAAGGCACCGGCAGGTGGTGCGAAGTGCAGACCAGACGAGGGCGCAGCTCCGAAGCCCGGACCCCCGAAGGGCGGCGGGAAAGCGGCGCGCGGGCCAGGTGCTGGCAGGCGCGAGGGGCCATCAGGACTGAGCGGCGGCGTGTCGCAGGGCGGCGGGCGGCCCGAGGGGCCCCGCATGCAGGCAGCGCCCGGACCGCTCTCACGCTTGAGGCCGCGCGGTCCGCGGGCCAAGCCAAGCACGCAACCGTAGTTGCTGCCGTCGGCCTCGGGGGGCTCGGCCTTGACTGGGCGGCAGGGCGGCGCCAACAGAAAGCGGCCGTGCAGCGCAGGCCCTGGCGGCGGCCCTGGCGGCGGCGGTGCGTCCAGCTCTGGCCGCAGTAGCTCGGACACCAGGCCGCCCGCTGGGGCACCGTAGGGTGGCGGTGCACCCGGCTCTGGGTAGTAGAATGCAGGAGGCGGTGGTGGTGGCGGCTCCGGGGTGGCCTCGGCGCCCAGGCCGTCCAGCCCCATGGACAGGATGAAGTCCAGCACGCTATTGAGATCGTCGTCAGCGCCGCCTGCTTCGGGTTCATTGCGTGGCCAGCGCTGTGGGCGACAGGCGCGGGCATGAGTGAGCGGCAGATCTCCGGTCGCCACCCCTGCAGACTCCCGGGTCCACAGTTCCTGTCGTCTCGGGCCCCACTATCCCTGTCCCTAAGGGTCCTGACTTCCTTGCCTCCTGCTACCTGATCTACCTGCCGTCTCTGCCACCTGAGTTCTACTGTCCATCCGCCTACTGCGTTCGTTTGGTGACCCTGTCACTGCGGTCCCTGTCTTCTCCACCGCTTCCGTGCCCGCTGCCCCCGCAGCCCGGGTTCCACTGCCCTGCTGCCTCCTTTATAGACTGTTCTGCGTCTCCGCCGCCCGCGTTCCACTGCCCGGCCGCCCACGTTCTATTGCCCCACAGCTCGCATTATACTGCCCAGCCGCCTCCCGCGCCAGTTATCCCTGCCGTACCCAGTGGTTCCTGCCTTCCCCGCTGCCTCCTGCGCGCGCCTTCTCTACCCCTAGTTTTCTACTGCCCCCTGCACCCACTGTCCCCTGCCGATGTCCCCGCAGCCCGGGTTCTACTGTCCACGTTCGCCGCCGTCCGGGCCGCCCATGGCCGCGCCCTCACCTCCTGCAGGCAGCGCTCGCGGCACGGGCTGGCGAACGTGGCGAAGGACGGCAAGATGGGCTCGCTCAGCGCCATGGCCCGGGCGGCACGGGTGCGGACCGGGAGAGGCGAGTGGCTGCCGGGCTAGCGGATCGGGGCTCGGGCGGGACGACTCTGCGGCCGCCGCGGTCCCGCCCAGCCTTATAGGCGCGCGCGCGCGGGGGCCGGGCCACGGCGGCGGCGGCGGAAACGCGTCCCGGATGGGGACGAGCTCGGGGCGCAGCCTAAATTTAGCCGCAGTATATAAGTCGGCTGGCGGCGGCGGCCGGGCCGTTGCGGCCGCCCGGGCCCAGTGCTCCGCGGGCCAGGCATCTCCAACACTGCCAGGCCGCGCCCCCTGCCCCGCCCGCCCCCGCCGGTCTCCCAGGCGACGGCGTCAACACCCGCACACAACAGCGGCGGGATGCCCAGGGATCCCCGGTTCCCTTCTGCTAGAGGCCTAGGAGAGTCTGGAGGGGGCCGTGGGCTCTGACGCCACAGGGGCCCCACGGCTTCCCCGGACTCCTGTTGGCTTGGAAGACTGGGTGCTGCGACCTCTTGAGAGAGCCTGGTGTCTCCAGGATCCCTCTTGGTGGGATCGCCTGTCCCCCAGGACCTCTGATGATTGGGGAGATGGGGAGGTGGATACTTGAGGTGATCAAGAGCCCTAATAGGTGGAGGGACTGGGCCTCCTTTTCTGAGGGAGATCCAGACCTGGAGGGAACTTTGAATCGGGAAAGGGCCCCCAGAACTCTACCCCCTGACACCAGTGCTCACCACCCTGCACAAAGCTTACGAGATACCAACCAGAAACGTTTAGACTTGGAGACAATTCCCTCTTCCATTTGATCCGTTCAGATCAGGGAAACTGATGCCGGAGGGACCAGGCAGGGCCTAAGTGAACAGACTTGGGGGACAAGTAGCAATCATTCCTCAATGATTCCTCCACCATGCACAGTCTCAGCGCCAGGTCCTCTTGGTCCTTGTCCTGTGCACCTCCTTCCCTCCTCACCTGGACCTGCAGACCAAGGACTGTCACTCTCCCGAGTTGGCTGTGCCCTACAATGCCTAGCCACCTGGGACACAGCAGCCAACAAGGCAGACCGAAAGCCTGCCTTCAGTGTGTGTGTGCATTGGGGCTGGAGAGAGACTGAATAAACAGAATCAAGATGTAGTGTGTATTGGGATGGATCTCCTGGAGACATCCCTGTATTACAGAGTAAAACTGAGTTCCACGGGGTTTTCTTGTGACCCTGGATTAGTGAATAACGGCTGGCTGTTTCAATCCCCTCAGTGGTGTTAAAGAAGAAATGTCTGGCAATTTGCTTTTGCCAAGAAAAACCTATGGAGCAGTCTTACTCTGTAACACACAGGGTTAACATGAATCAGAAGTTTTTTGGTTTTGGAAGTTTCACAGAAGTAAATCACCAGGCCTTTCTTTCATGCCACTGCTGGGTGGGGTTGAACTGCCAATCTTTTTTTGCACCACCCAGGGACCTGTGTTGGGATAGAATCCAGGAGGAAGAGTAAAGGAGGGAGGGAGCTAGGAACTGAGTGTGTGTGTGGGGGGGGGGGGTAGGTGGGGTGGTGATGGTGAAATTTTGATTTCAGAGCCTCACGGAAATAAGAGGGAGCCACGGAAGTATCAGGGGAGAGAGCATATTGTTAGATGCTGTCAAATTGGTTCTGACTCATAGTGATCCTACACACTGCCTGGTCTTGTGCGATCCTCACAATTGTTAAATTGGAACCCATTGCTGCTGCCACTGTGTTAATCCATCTGGTTGGGGTTTTCCCTTTTTTCACGGACCCTCCACTTTACCACGCATAATGTCCTTCTCCAGGGACTGATTCCTCCTGATAACATGTCCAAAGTCTCACTCCCTTGATTTCTAAGGAGCATTCTAGGCATACTTCTTTCAAGACAGATTTGTTTGTTTTTCTGGAAGTCCAAGGTACTTTGGATATTTTTCTCCAACGCCATAATTCAAATGCATTGATTCTTCTATGGTCTTCCTTATTCATTGTTCAGCTTTCACATGCATATGAGGTAATTGGAACTATCATGGCTTGGGTCAGACCCTCATTAGTCCTCAAACTAATATTTTTGCTCTTGGACACTTTATGGAGGTCTTGTGCGGCAGATTTGCCTAAAGTATACATCATTTGATTTCTTGACTGCTGCTTCCAGAAGTGTTGATAGGGATCCAAGCAAAATGAAGTCTTTGATAACTTAAATCTTTTCTCCATTTGTCATGATATTATGTATTGGTCCAGTGGTAAGGATGTCTGTTTTCTTTACATTGAGGTGCCATTCATACTGAAGGCTGCATGTAGTATTTGATCTTCTTTGGTCCGTATTTTTAAGTCCTCTTGCAAGCAAGTTTGTATCATCTGCATATCACAAGTTGTTAATGAGTCTTCCTCCAATCCTGATGCCATGTTGTTCTTCATATAATCCAGCTTCTCACATTATGTGCTCAGCATACAGACTGAATGAGTATGGTGAAAGGATATAACCCTGGTGCCCACCTTTCCTGATTTTACACCATTCAGTAGCCCCTTGTTCTGTTCAAACAACTGATTCTTGGTCTATGTGCAGGTTACTCATAAGCACAATTAAGCATTCTGCAGGAAGAACATTTCAAAGCAGTAACCTGGAACTGGAATCAGGACACACCTCTTCTAACTGCAGGTGTCCTGGCTATGGTCAGCTGCCACCCCACGCTCATCCCCGCAAGCTGATGCCATCTGACCAGAAAGCTTGGACTCTCTGCACCTTGTGCAAATGACTCTGGGGGCACATTTGTGGCTGCACTCCTGGATCCTCAGAAGAGGAGATGAAACCAGGGTACCACCAAGGATTCACACGACCAAGGATATGCATGGCGGGAGGAATCCCACCAGGCCTCCCCTTCCTTTTCTGGCCACTTTTCCTTCTCTGGGGCCAGGAGGGCATTGCCATGGACACCAGCTGGACCCACAGTGGTGACAGCACAACACAGGCACCAGGAGCCCCTCAGAAACCACACCTAGACCCTCCTGGCTACACAGGAGGTGCTGAGATGCCAAACTTTCTGGTCAGATGGCATTTGAGTGTGGAGTGGCAGCTGACCGCAGCCAGGACACCTGAGGTGCATTTGTGGGAATGGACACTGAGTCTCCTGCATTGCTATGGTTGTGAAGGGCCATCAAGTCGGTTCTGATTCAGTGACCCTGTATAGGCTTTCCAAGGAGTGGCTGGGAGTTTGAACCACCAACTTTGCAGTTCAAACTGACCTTACTGTCCAGTGCTTATCCATGGAAGTTGAGAATGCTACCCCTGAATCCCGACTGCCCCACCCAGAAAATGTAAGTTTCTTTTCCTTATCTTGATGGACATGTCACTGGTTAGTCCCCACTAAAGGGTACTGTATTTGTGACCTCTGCCCCCCCACCCTCATACTTTTACTTTCATTTATTTCCTGTGTCCCTTCTTCCTCTTCTAATAACCCAGCTTTGACAGTCCAGGTCATTAATAATAATTATTGGTTTCATCCAGGTCCTGTAGGGAAACAGTGCTGTGATTGACTAATGATGTCTGTGATTGATTGGTGATGTTTGTCACAGACAACACATGGATAAGTGGTACTTATGCAGCTTCCCATTTACTATGTCCACACTAGGCTATGCTCAAGGGGCTCAGGAAATTTACCAATCAGAAGTTTCTAGTCTGAGCAACAGACTAAACAGTGGGTCCTTTCACTGTGATAGTTTCAGCAACAAATAAACATTGAGTATCTGTTTTTCTGGGCTTGAAGTCGAAGCTAATGGCATATATGGTCTGTTTCTGCTCACAGAGACTTTATAATCTCCTTTCACTGTTCCTTATATGATACAGAGTGTAGCGTTGCCTTGTACTTGTCTGTCCTCATAATTGTTGCTATTTCAGCCCATTGTTGCTGTCACGTGTTGATCTGTTTCTTTTCTGCTGCCCTGATAGTAAGCATTGTGAATATGTATTTTTTTTCTTTAATTATTTTTCTAGATGTCTGCTAGAATCTTGCCCTGCCTAGAGCTGTTTCGGTCCAAACAGCTATTGTGTGTACTTCCTTGGCCCAGCCCCTAAGAGCAAGCGCTCAGGAATCCTTTAGAAAACACGTCATGTCAAATACAGCTGAGTTTTCAAGACAAGTTCTGCACCCTCTGGAGGAATTGTAGTCATCATCACATTATGGCAACACCGGGTGATGACTCCCAGTGGCCGCTGCCGCGTGTTTCTACTTAGATTTGCACAAGCCTTTCACAACTCATTACTAGAGTTGTCTCTCCTGTCCTAAAGATGTCTGTCCCAAAGATGTGATTTCTTGTGGCTGAGCAGGGATGCCCCTTCAAGCCGGCTCCTAACCATAGGCTACCACAGAGGCAACATTCATCACATTTCCCTCACCATCTCTGGGGATGGCGGGTGTGTGGCAGGTGCCAAGGTTTCATATGGTGGAGGGTAGAATTCTGAGAACCTCTTTCCAGTCTCTTGCTTGCCAGACTTGCTCTAGATTTGTTGATATTGAGGACAGAAGAGGAGGAGGGAGCATCCTTTATCAAACACCTGTGTGCTGGATCTCACATTGAGGTGCTGTGATATGGTTTGACTTCCAGATGGATTAGCAGGTGGATGAGGTGGGGATGGCGTTTTCAGCTGGGAGTCCTGAAGCATTGGCCAGGAATTGAACCCAGGTCTCTTGCATGGAAGGGAGGATTCTACCGCAGAGCTATTACTGCCCCTGTCAAATGAATGTCCTTGTGTGGATGACTTTGAGAGAGTGACCTTCCCTCTATGAGTCTCAGCCCTTCTCCATCCAATGGGTATGACAATGACTGCTCAGCCACATGTTTATGGGAATCAGAGACATCATTCATAAAGAGAAGGGTTCTAGAAAAAGCCTTCAGTTATTTTTATTTAGAGTCTCTGCATGGGGCAAAGGAGCCCTGGTGGCACAGTGGTTAAATTGCTTGGCTGCCAAATGTCAGGTGTTGAAACACAGTTACTCTGTGGTAAAAAGGATACAGCAGTCTGC